TCTTTTCTTCCCCTTCCCACTCCAGCTTGGGTCATGTAAAAGGAAGTGTCTGGCAAAAACAAATTATTGGGAAAGGTTGTGGGAAGGTATAAAGTCAGGAAAAGTAGCATAAGATCAGCACAAAAACTTATGGCATGTTAAACTAGGTGGTGGAGTTATTTTAATTCGTAAGTATTCTAATTCTACAAAGATTCAGTTTGGGGTAATAGTGTAATGGAGTCTTTCATGTCTCATTTGCCAGTTCAAATCCAGTCTAAGTTTGTAGTGACTGAAAGCTACCACTGCCTAATAGCAGTTTTGATGACTTATGTAAAATGAGTTGGTGTTCCTTATTTAGTTTGTACTGAAGTGGTGACCATATCACAAAAAAACCCACAACCATAATTGGAACTAATTTACTCCTTTTGTCAACTATCACAATAGACATGTCTTGGATTAAATGGATATAGAATCTAAACTGTCCTCAATCCTAGACATGGTCCTTCCATGTCAGGGTTGGTAAAGCAATGAAGGAAAGATTGCACTACTGCTGCCTGTATTGTATGTCTTTTACAGGTAATTAGAAAACTTTAGCAACCGATAAATCTCAGTTCTCCCTTCTAGGCTTGTCCTGAAACTTTTAATATCATATACTGTAATTGGCAACAGAAGGAGTCAATTTCCATAGTAGAATGGCTGTGTTGCCGGCACAGAGTGCCCGAGGACAGCAACAGCGGGGTCCGTTGCCCGGTGTGCGTCACGCCAATAAACACACCAGGGTGGAGAAGCAATCAAAGTTTATTTGAGATCTCAAAGTGGTGCAAGGAGACAGGCACGTCTCAAATCAAGCACACCAACATAAGCGGCCTTTATCTTTTATACAGTTTGCAGCTAGCCTTTCCCTTCTTCCCCCGCCCTTTCTCACCCCACCTCTCCCTCTTTCTCCCTCTGGCTACATTACACGACCTTGGCTGTGCAGCTTGTTCTCACTGTTTCTTTCTGCAAGTAATCTTGTCCTTTAGCTAGAAGCATGTACGTTTCCCTTATCACTACTGCTTCCCAGCTGCTGGCCTGTGAGGTTAGTAAAGTTTAACATGCAGGGGCTTTGATTCACTTTGGCCTAGAGCGGGGGGGCTTCATCGACTCTCGGGTCTTCCAACCCCCCGAGTTACCTAGTGGCCTAGAGCGGGGGGGCTTCATCGACTCTCTGGTCTTCCAACCCCCCGAGTTACCTAGGGTGATGCCTAGTGACACCAACAGCTGTGTTAATATTTTTAATTAAGTGGCACAAAACTTTGTTACTGCAGAGTTAAGGTTATCCGGCGATAGATTGCGCCCTTTTAGAACGTTGAATTCAGCAAAACTCAAACTTGTGAAAACCAGGAAATACAGAGTTACGGTACACACCCAAGCAACCATAACTCTGCCTCCCTAGAGCTGGCAACAGCCACTGGGAATTATCTACATGAACTCCACCTGCTTTCACTGTGTTAAATGTAGCTAGAATGGTGGAAGAGCTGTGATTGTGATCTGAGATGAACTGGGGTGCTGTGGCTTTCTGCGGTGTATGAGAGCCCCTCTCCCTGAGTGTGTGATCAAAGGAAAAAGGCTCATGTGTACCTTGAGAGATCCAGTATGCCTCATTTCAGTACTGTGTTGCATAGGGGTCTTCTTGTTGTGTGGATTGTGATGTCATAGGTGGGAGATTAGTGTGGTCTGAGGGTTTTATGAAGGATAAGTGAAAATTAAATAAATAAATAAATTAAATAATGGAGATATCCCATCTCCTAGAACTGGAAGGGACCTTGAAAGGTCATCGAGTCCAGCCTCCTGCCTTCACTAGCAGGACCAAGTACTGATTTTGCCCCAGATCCCTAAGTGGCCCCCTCAAGGATTGAACTCACAACCCTGGGTTAGCAGGCCAATGCTCAAACCACTGAGCTATCCCCCCGCCCCCCAAAGTGTTATGCATCGTGTGCATAAGGGTGAAGAGGTAGTAAAAGGCTGAAGGAGTTGTAAAAATAAGTAAGGTGATGTTTTTACTGTGGAGCAATCTAAGTGTATGAGTGTAGGGAACTCCTCTTCAGTACAGGACAAAGGCAGAATGTGAGTGTGTGTGCAATGAGTGTATTGGCCATTACTCAGAGAGGACAGAATTAAGGTTGCATGCCTATGTACCTTAACTCTGTATTTCCAGGTTTTCACAACTTTGAGTTTTGCTGAACTTGACCTTCTGGAAGGGCACAAACTATTGCCAGACAACCGTAATGCTGTATTAACAAAGAGTTTTTTGCCATTTAATTTCCTAGTTTTTTACTAGAAAGATAAATGTTGGTAGGCGTTAATGGTCATTTAGGCATGGAGGAGTGAAGTTCAGATGCTCCTGTGAACAGGTAATAATACCTAGCTCTTACATAGGTCTTCAGTAGATCTCAAGGAGCGACACATCATTATTCCCCTTGTAGAGATGGGGAAGCTGAGGTACAGAGCACTGACGTGCCTTGGCCAGTCACCAAGCAAGGAATAGAGCTCCCAGTTCACTGTTTTTCTCCACTAGGTCACATGGTTGCTATGTGGTTCCTAAATGTACCCCCACTCATCAAACACACACACACTCCACCCCCCAGGTACGCATTGTTGTTTAAGTGGAATGGGAATAATACTCTTATTTGGAAATGTTTGGAGCGTGTAGTTGTTTACATAGCCAATGAGAGAAATCTTAGCCCTGGTCTACACTGGGGGGGGGAGGGGGTTTGAGCTAAGTTACGCAACTTCAGCTACGCGAATAACGTAGCTGAAGTCGACGTACTTAGATCGACTTACCGTGGCGTTTTCACCGCGGTGAGTCAACTGCTGCTGCCCCCCCGTCGACTCTGCCTGTGCCTCTCGTGGCACTGGAGTACAGGAGTCGACGGGAGAGCGCTCGGGGGTCGATTTATCGCGTCTAGACTAGATGCGATAAATCGATCCCCACTGGATCGATAGGTGCCCACCGATCCGGCAGGTAGTGTAGACATGGTCTATGTGGTCAGACGGTCTATGTCTCCAGTATTTGATTGTTTTGTTACATGGTGATTACAGTCACTTTAAGCATGTGAGAGAAGACTGGTGTCTCTCCGCCTCCCCCATCCATCCACCATTTCCAGCTCACTCTCCCCTTCCTGTCCCATTAAACCATTAACATTTTTGAAGCCAAGTGTGCGCACACAAAGTGGGTAGAATCTGTGAATTTTAAGAAAAGCTGGGGGGGGGAAGGGGAGTTTCAGGGAGAGGAGGGATCTCTTATAATCAAAAATACTTGGATTACATTCCCACAAAATAATCTTGTGCAAATGTCCCCAAATTTGGATCATTAACCCTATCCTGAGCCCCTATAAGGCACAGCAAATTTCAAGACTATCAGGATGTGCCTGTGGATTTTTGAACACTTAGAAAAATAATTATTTAAACAGAAAAATCTTCTCAATCTTAACTGTAGCAGAACTAGTGCTCCACTATAATATTGTATAAAATAATTCAGCAGCAGCTGCTTTGCAATATGCAGATATCCAGCACAAGATAATCCTGAAGGCATAGGCGGCTCAAAGAGGTCTGAAGTGGACCATTCATCTCAATGTGATGGTCTCAGATGAATGAGAACACTCTATAGAGGTGCATACAGCCTAAAACAATAGCTCTGAGACGGGTGAGCTAATCCATTCATGTCAGTGGATGTTCCCATTCCGCCTTCCCAGTTCTGGAGAGTTTGTGGTATGTATCTTACATACCCATTCTCAACTCCTCACCTCAGTCTCAGCAGTGTGTTCCAGGTGCATGGACTGAGCATGATTGTTCAAAGCTCTCCACCAGAGGGGCAGAGCTTCCCCAAGCTCACATTTTGCGGAGTGGGGGGGAACAGGCAGGGCAATGGGCTCATTCCCTCATGTGAACTAAGATCTGGGGGTGACAGGGAGAGGGACTCAGACACCCACCCAGAAAGACAAGACCCCAGAACCTGGCTCTCACAGGGAGGAGAGGAGTAGGGCTCAAATACCCCCCCCCCCCGAGAGGCAAGGCCTCCCAGATCCCATGATGGGGGGCATGAAGAGGGGTTCAGATCCTGCATAGCGGGATGGGGGGGCAGATCCTGGCACAATCACAGAAGGGAAGAATGTGGTTCTGACAGGTGTCACTGTTCCTATTCTCCCCCTGTCACTTACCCCCATGTTCCTTTCCTAGTGTCCCTGCCCCTGTGAGCCCCACAACCCTTTCACCTTTCCTACCACCCATTGCCTGTAATCACCTTTCCCATAAACCCCCTTCCCCTCAGTGCAGCCCCAAGCCCCTCTAACCCCTATTCCCTCCAACTCCTCTATCCTGTAATGTGCCTCTTCCATGCTAGCAAGCATTATTTTGTGTACAAAATAATAATAAAACCTTGACAGACAGATTTTAGCAATGTGCCCTCCAACGTTTTCCAGATTTCTGCTTGAAGGTGTTTGAGACTCTGGTGTGATGATTTCAGCCCTGGTTGATCTCTATCTGTGTGCAAAAATTCGTTGCCAAAACATGTCAGTTTTAAGAAAAGCTGTTTTTTCTCTAGGGATGGTATCAAATGGTCCCAAATTTGCGTCACTAACAGAACCCCACCACAGCATGAGGCATACCAAATGTCAGGGCAATCCAAGTAACCATGTAGATTTTAGAGCACTTGGAAGAGTCAAGCTAGAAAAGAAAAGCTGCTCTTAACCTTAATGATAGCTGGCACTCTGCTATAATATAATGGGTTCAGAAGAGAAAGGAAGTGAGAGGTTCTGAAAATGACTTTAAAACTGAGTTTCCTTAATGTAGCCTAAACAGTTAACAAACCATTTTTACACTCCCTTTTTTACATTAAGGGCCTGGTGGGAGATGTTTGTGTTATAAGCATACATAGATCTTTAAATGTGTTTTAAAGATTTTAATGGCCCTTTCATTTTACCAAACCAAGAAATATTAACATTCATTTTTTTGTTGTTGTGTCTTTTCTTTTGTCAATGTAGATCTGAAGAGAAATGATTATACGCCTGACAAAATTATATTTCCTCAGGATGATTCTCCAGAATTGACAATTCAGCCTGGAAGCTGCACCAAAGAATCAGAATCAACTAGTTCTATTCATCTGATGCTGTAATGACATGAGCAAACATTGGCTTTACACAGTGTCACTAAGTTGTAGATTATCTGTCTTCCACTAAAATCAAATGAAAGAGAGATCAAAACAAAGAACCAAGTGTTATAAGTGGAATTTTGATGTCTGGTCTGTAATCTAAGGACCTAACAACTTGTGGTAACCATCTACAGAGATGAGCTGGCAGCTGATTATTTTAAGGGTTGAATGACAAGAATTTATGAAATGTTTTTAAAGGGTCTTTTTAGAAGAAGGTTATTTTTAGTTTTGCTTTTGTCCAATGGAGGTTCGTCTAATCCTCTAATCCTGTGGTGCAATAGGCTCTTGACTAAAAGGACTTTTTTTTGGATGTTTTAAGGCAAAGTGTCTGTTTGGCAGCTGGTTTACTGTCAGCCAGCTAGAGAAATGGGAGACTGCATCCTTCTTCATTGTCAGAGGTTTCCCTGGGCTTTGTCAGAAGTGTCCCATCTTATTAGATGCCATGTAGTTTCATCTGGCCTTTGGAAGGGAACAGATCCAAAGGATCTGTGTATATCATGCCAGTATGCTGAGGTTGAAGTCAGAAATGGATCTATTCCAATAAAGAGTTTGTCTCCTGAATCAGGATTCAGCTTCACAGGTGTGAAGCCAGTTTTTATGGAATAGAGCCTTAATTGTGTAATAAAATTTCTTGTTTTTATACATTTCAGTTTTATCAAGTCGTTGTCAAATAGTAACAAATAAAGCCAGGATAGACTGGTATAATTACATCATATAGTAGAAAAGAGTACATACTGGTCCAAACAAGAAGTTGCCTTGTTGAAAAAAAAAAAGAAACAAGTCGGGGAAGTGCTTTTTCTTGTAATGACTGCTTCTGAAGTTATGCCTTCCAAAAATCTCATAAAACCAGTATATCAAAGCAGAATGTACACATGAACTTTTAAATGTATTTAAAATTGTATAGAAACATCTTTAATGTTATGTTGTTTGTGGTACTTATTTAAAAAAAGACTAGGGTTGGTTTAGCATTATGTAAAGTACGGGAGATTGCAATGCAACTTTATGCCAATAAAATGTAATTTAACTGTCCCAAGTCTTGTTGAGTATTCAACAAGAAAAACCTGTTGTCCAACTGAAGTTTCATGCTGCGATTTTTATTTTGTTTGTTACATAGGTACTAATTTTTAATTTTTAATTGAAGGGCAATATAAAGCTCTATAAATTTTTTTTATTCAGTAGTGTATCTTATAGATACAGACCTAAGGCACGAACACAATAGCTGTTTAAATCGTGTTTTATGTTGATGGGGGAAAGGTAAAGTGTATTAAAGATATAATACTGTATACATTTTGTATATCATTAAATCTTTAAATCTAAAATAAATTTATTCTTGTTTACAGACTTCTGCTGTCCTTATCTGAAAGGGATGTCTTAAAGTTTCTTGGGGCGAATATGAGTTTATGCAGGAGCATAGAAATTGCCATATTAGATCAGGCGAGTGATCCATCTAGTCAGGTATCCTTGTTCAAAGGTGGCTAATGCCAGAAGCTTGAAGAGAGTGTAAAAACTCCCCTATTGGACAACTATGTAATAACTTGTGTAATGAATAAACATGAGTATAAAAATTTTAAGCTAATTAAAATGTTTATTTAGAATTAGGAACACATTCCTTAATTAGAGCTATATGAATATAAAATTATGGGGTAGTTTGAGCAGTGGGTATGATTGCAGTTCTGTCTTATTGCTGTTAAGTAAACTGGAAGACGAGTTTTAATATGTAAATCTAGTCTTTCAGCTTTAATTCCTGTATCATTATATTCTTAGTCAAACAAAACTAACATTTAATGGACTAGATAAGGACGTTTTCAGAGTTCAGAGGGAGTGTCTACCACAGGCAATTCTTCAGGGATACGATCAAGGGCCTGGAAGGATATATAATAGAAGCAAGATTATAAAAACATTTCAGTTACTACAGGAAAAAAATGTAATAGAACTGTGGGTATGTGTGTCCGTATGTGTACACGCAAAATTTGCAGGCTAGGAGAGTTCGACACAAACATTTGACAATATGGAGTTTTTATTCTTACCAACTTAACTAGTGAATTTATTTTTTGAAACCCATTTTTGAACTTTTGAAACCTTGATGTGTGACAGTAGATAGCCACTCCACTGTGGAGCAGAGAAAGCATTAGGACCAGGACTCCCGCAGAACTTGCAAGTTATGTGCAGGACTTGGAATTCCCTGCAGGAGTTTGAGTACTGAGCTGTGGGTGAGTCTAACCCCACGTACATTGCCAGCTTGAGAACACATTTGTGTCATAAGATTTACAGGTTTCTAAGTGCCAGATAAAATATAAAATAATCCAGACAGGGCCATCCCTAGAAGGGTGTGGGGCCTGGGGCAACCCCACCCTCTGCCCCCTCCCCGCTCTCATTCCACCCTTTCCCCCAAGCCCCCGCCCCGCCTCTTTCTGGCTTCTACCCCCTCCCCCGAGCGACACCGGGAGCCGGCAGGGTGGGGCCGGGTCATTCACTGCTGCTGGCGCCAGGTCCCCCGCTAACTCCCTAGGCCGCCTTGGACCCTGCGTCCCGAAGCGCGGGGCCTGGGGCTCCAATTCCAGAATTAAGAAAAGAAAATCACAATTTCAAAAATAGTCCTTAAGGCGCTAATTGAGATCAACAACAACAACAACAACAAAAATTAAATGCAAACTGTTTCCCAAGCTGTTTGAGATGTGGTGAAAAAATAGCAGGACTTTTTCAAAAGTGAATAGCCCTTAATTTTTAATACTCTTAAGTGCCAAATGCATTGTCTCACTAACATCAAATTATCTAACCTAATTCTCCCTGTTGGAACGTGCATGATATTCCATGCTAATTGGTTTGGTTTGGGCTAAATTTAGAGGGGGGGGCGGAGATCAGGATCATAACTTAGGAAAATGACTAGGTTTAAATTTAAGTGTGTAAAGTTTGTTTTTTCTCCATGACTGAATAGAAGATTCAGCAAAGTATATTCAACATCCTTTCCCTATACCCGAAAACAGATTCACAATTCACCATAGTTGGTGCCTTTACCTCAGGTTTCAGGCCGCTGCTTTAAAGCATCCACTGCATACTTTAAAATATCAGGTAGGAGAAATAGGTACAATACTGAAAGTCCATATTTTCAACAAGTTTCTGCATTTTTGAAAATAAAAGATTAAAATCTATTCCAGTAATTCAGGAGAACTGTTCTGAACCATCTGAAAACAAATGGCAATTAACTGATTTTAGTATGTTCTTAAACTATTGTTAAAATATATGTATTAAAATTTTCCCTTTTCCTTTATAATGAAAATATGGAACCCTGAATTGATCTTCATACTGAAGGAGCATTTGTTGTTGACTTTACACAATTAAAGAAATATTTTCCCCAGAATATATTCTTTAGCTGACACATTCAGCTAGATTTTCCAATATTTTTTCATTGTTTATTTTTTTTAAAGTATTCTGATGGACTAATCTGCATAAAATGTGATCATAAAATGACTAGGCATTTTCTTTGCTGTTGACTCAACTTCCTGTAAAATAAAGTGCAATCTCACTTCTTCAGCCATCAATATCACTTTCATCCAGAACCTTGTAATGTTACTAATTTGTTAATTTAAAATAAAACAATCAGCCAAATGCAACAGAAGGTATTAAGGACTGTTCCCTTGCAATATTTAGGTGCTGATGTATGTCAGTGCTAAACAATCTAACTGCACTGTCACGAAAGTACATAAAAGGTGAGTCCACTGAGAGGGCTGGTTCCCTAGCTACCGATGAGCAGCCATGTGACCTGGGAGAGGAGCGGCACTTGTTTTTCAGCCTGTGACTGCACTTTTCCACAGCTACCCAGTTTTTTCTGGTTGTTTCTAAATCAGTACCACACAATTTATAACCGCAAGAGGAAAAAGAGATTTTAACAGAAAGCATGGGAGTAACGGTGCATGTTGAATACTGGTAAGGTATCACTTAGATTTTTAAAATGTATTGTACTAATGACACTTCTGGAGAGGCTTCTGGATATTATGCAACTGTTTCTCTTTTTATAGTTAACGTTTGTTCCTTTTTATGAGTTTTTTGTGTGGAAAATTAACAGTCGGTTTCAGCATAGAGGTGGACTTGCTGTTCCCATGCTCTGTTGTCTGCCCAGATGCGATTGATTGGATCTGGGCCTTAGTTTGGATTTCACAAAATAGGGTTAAACATCTAACATTAATATGTATGCTGGTTCTGTACATTTTAGTATCTCAGATTAGTACCAGCCAATGAGAATTTTGATTTATCAATATATATCTTAGCTGTATTTTTTTTAAAGTATATATTTTGCAGCAGTTCATTGAGAAGAATGTAAAATAAGACTTCTGCTAGTTTGTACAAGGAACAAAATCATATTTTAAAGTTTTTAATCTACAGTAACTTTCAGTATCACTCTTAATTTCTGCTTCCTCCCTATGCCTTGTTTTTATGGCTGCCATGAGTCATTGTGTGAATATAGTATGAATAGCAGGGTGTTTGACTCTATATAAAAGGACTATACTTTTTTTGTGGAATGCAGACGCTGAATAAAACATGTCACTTTGTGCATATCTCCAGAATTGCACTATAATGTTGCATGCTTGGTTGATGTAAATGTAGGTGGTGTCAGTGTGGGCTAGAGGAATAAACAGGAACGGGAGTCAGGAAATCCTGAGTTAAAATCCCACTCTGCCCCTTAGTCCCAAATCACTTCACTTCTTTCCCTCAGTTTCCCTATTTGTAATATGGAAGTTATAGCGCTTAACTATCTCAGCAGAACCGTTCTGAAGATGAATCAGAGTTGGTAGGTACATCAATTGTTAACAGATCTGCTAATGCTAAGTATTATATTTAAGGTGTATCCTACGTGGTTTAAAAACACCTTCCCTTTTCCATTTCTCTTCCCTCTGCCCATTTTGTGTTTTGTCCTTGTTCTTGTCTATCTCATCTTATTCCTGCCTATGTAACTCTTCTCATGCATGTCTTGTTTGGGAGAGGTTCTTGAGAACCTCAGAAATAGACTGCCCTAAATTAGAGTGCATTTTGTGTGGCAATTACAAGGTAACCATAACCAATGTAAATTTGGGCTCTCCTGATATCCTGCCCAAGAAGTTGCAGTAGGAGCAACATCGTTGCTATATTCAGATCTTTGCCCCTGTTAGACTAGAATCACAAAAATTTAGAAGACAGCCAGCAATGACAGGTTTCAGAGTAGCAGCCGTGTTAGTCTGTATCCGCAAAAAGAACAGGAGTACTTGTGGCACCTTAGAGACTAACAAATTTATTTGAGCATAAGCTTTCG